ATAATTTGCCGAACGGGATCTTTTGTTGACCATCTGTTTGGTAAATTTGAGACCGTTAAATTTTTTTTCAAACAAACTTTGACTATCTTTCATGTTCTCCGTGATTCCAAAAAACGCGAAGTATGTTGCCAGATTGTCTTTGGCGCTCTGAAGCATGATTTCTTCTCGTTCTTGTTGTGTTTTGTTGGAATGCAGTGTGTAGCAGTCAGACAGGCTGAGGTTAGCCAGCATTCGTGTCTGTCTGTTGAACGCCGTGTTACTTCTGCAGAGGTGAAAAGCACAAACTGTTAGTGCTAGGAAGTGAGATTATTTTTTTACTTTGGTTTATGTGAATTATATATAAAACTGTAACCGCAGCAAAGAGAGTGCTAATCTATGAACACCCAAGGAAAATCACCACCGCCGGGGACTGGCAAGAGCTCAGTATGCCGCAGTTTTCTTTTGGATGACATGCTAGATTCCAGCCCTGAGGGGTCAGTAGCAAGAACCTGTTCTTTTGTATGGAGGCGAATCTTGTAATGTCAGTAAACAAATTAGGAAGCAGTTTAGAGTGCACATGATGATGATAAACCGCAGCAAATCGGTCAGAATACAGTTAAAACTGGAAAAACTCCTTCGGACAGATTTTGGTTATTCGTAGACTTGTGCGTATTTGAGCTTGTTCCAGAACTTATGATCTGACTAATTTAAGTGCAGACTGTTGGTTTCCCACCCATTTCTCAGGCAGATGCATACTGACTTTCAAGAAAAAGTCAGAATTGAAATGTTGTTTACTTTTATAACTGCAACTTACACCTGGTTAGTGCAGTCGTTACAGGTACCCTAACGATAATTTCTTTGGAGGTATTTGGGATACCGGGATATCAGCCTTGTTGGTTCTCTATCCAGGCTGAGATCTTTCAAATTTCAAGATGGTATGGTAAACCTTTAGATTCAGCCCAGAAAGGACACACTTCTGGATCAGATCAAATATAGAGCACACTGTAGGACAAATATTTGTTGTATTAGAAAAGATATAAAACCGAACGAAAAGTCTATTAGCAGGCTTCACAATATAACAAATACAAACAAGACGTGAACACAGCGGCTATGGAGCCTTCATCAGCACATACAAATCAAACACTACTACACAGATACACAAAATCATTTAGCTGGTATCCCGAAGCAGCCGGGTCGGTGGTTTCTCTAAAATGAATGCCTACGCGTGTCGTCGGCTGCGGGAATAAATACCGCCTGTGGAATACCATGGGCCATAACTAGGGGGTTAGAAATAAAACTGAGGGCAGTTCATTCCCCTTGGAGTTTAGATGACACTGTGTTGGCACTTCAGTCCTGATGGTGTTAAAGTATTACTTCAGTAAGACTGGATGCAATGAGATATGTACAAATACGTTGACCAGTGCGTGTGAGTGATTTTCAGCGGTGATTTATGTCACAGGCGTGAGGGGAAGTTAAGTCCAACATGATGTGTATAAGGAGATACTCCGTACGTCACTCGGGCGCCAGTCCTTTAATATCCTGGTTGTACGGAACCTCACGCAAGACCCCGGCAGCACGTCCTCGTCGTGCGCCACGGATAATGTCTCAAATGAGCATTAACAGAGCTGTCAGGGGATCTCGGAGTTTGGCGGCCCCCAGAGGTGATGTGTCCTTGTGGCTCTCATCAGCCCGCCCCCAAACGCTTGGGTGAAAAATGTTATTATAACTCATTAGGAACATGAGTAGGTCTGCCAAACGTACAGCCAAAATTACAATCCTTGGTTAAAAGACTGCGGAGTAAAGAGAACATTGTTCACTGCACATCCTCTGTTAACCCTCAGTGTCGTCGTCACCGCGCTAGGGTACACTACAACAGCAACCATCCATAGGCTGGCCATTCATGCACATCCTCGGGTAACCCTCAGTGTCGTCGTCACCGCGCTGGGGTACACCACAACAGCAACCATCCATAGGCTGGCCATTCATGTACATCCTTGGTTAACCCTCAGTGTCGTCGTCACCGCGCTGCGGTACACCATAACAGCAACCATCCATCGGATGGCTAAGCCTAAATGTCCGACAAAACTAGATCATACGGATCAAAATCTGCCCTCAAAATTTGTATTAAACTGAAAAAGACCGAATGTCCACACCCAAAGACCCCACTCGCCCGAGTGTTGGGACAAAACTGATACGATATGCCTGGAGCAGGATGTAAAACTCTGTCGGGCTAACGGCTCGTCAAAGAAATCTAACATGCGAAGAAAAAAGAATGTACCTATCTGTGTGGTCACAAAAGTCCAAAACCCACGGGCTGCTCCCCGCTGACTTCCAGAGGGCGCAATCCCTGTCGAGCGGGAGGCCTGATACGGTTGTGAGGTTAAGCAGGCATGTGCAGGACGTGACGATTCCTTGGGTGAGCCCAGAACCAGAGCGCCATGTGCCGGCTCTGCATACATGGATGCCTCCTTGGATGGCAGGGAATGCCCATGATCTGCCCCTGCCTTCCCTTGAGGGCTAACTGCTCCACAGGGGGCTGACCCAAAGGGGTACTCCGGGGGCAATACCGGCGGCAAAGGAGACAATGTGGACACCACACAAATTAGGCAACGTCTCGACCCACACAAAACAATGGCCACAGTCACCCTATAAATAGGCCTGACGTCTTCCTTCGAAGTCGGCGTACAGCTGCCCATGAGGCAGGGAAATGAAAAACGGTTGTACACGCAAAAATCAGGTCCAGGTGAAAGCCAAAAGTCCAAGCGGACGATTACCTGACCTTCCACTGGAATTCACAGCCGGTGTTCGATGGAAAAAAAATTTTCAGCCCCCCACCCCCCCCCCCCCCCCCACCCTACCCCCCTCCCCTTTAAAAATTTTTTTTGCGTTGTTTGGTATTTCTTCTTCTTTTCTAGGCTTGTATTGCTATTTTTTTTAAATAAGAAAACGCCGCTGAAACTGTATCGGTCATGCACTTAGAATGTATAGGGCAAGACTCCCCCATCAAGCCCTCATATGGACACCGGAAGGGACAAGAAAACAGGGAAGACAGAGATAGATTTTACGTAGAATCATCATCAGGGAATGCTCATCCATAGGCCTTTTGAACATCCACGACCTGAAGCAGGTGTCAACGAACCGCCAGACATAGAGAGCTATGACCTCTGCTCCATGCGCCGCCTAAGGCTTAAGAGGAAATTGGCATTCAGCCCCAGGTTTTAAAGAGGCATCGGTGAGATCCTTGGTAAGTGCCACATAGACGCTGGTATTTAAAGCCTCGGAAATTCCATCTATCCATAGTTTGCATGGTCGACTCATGGTTTTGCTTCTATTATGTCTAAGTGACAGGGCTCTCTGTGTTACATTGTCTAGCGGCAGTCTTGACACATGTCCAAACCACTTGACCTATAGTCTCTTAATGTAATTGAACACAGGTTTCGTCCCAATGTTTTTCCTGCCGGATATCGCCATTTCAGACCTTGTCTTTTCTTGGTATTGACAGAGCTGTTTGTTTTAGTATCCAGAAGCCATGAGTTGTTAACCCTTAAGCTCGGTATTAGGGATATCGAAACCTTTCGGTCTTGATTCCATTGTAAATACCGTAAATCTTTGAGAAAATGTGGTTTTCCTGCCTACCCCCGGGATTGAACCCGGACCACAAGGAGTTCGTCACCCAGTCTCCGCGCAATCCGGCTTAGCCAACTACGCTAGAGAGCCGGGCGTATTGATAGAGCTAAACCAACAGTTCATACTTACGAGCAATTCACGAAGTTCTCGAAGCTGACGTGCTTCCACGATCCATACTTGAAGCAGAAAGGCACCTCTTGCATCGTTGCGTCCCTCCCATCACAGTAGAGCCTGCTCTCTTTCCAGGTGGATCCTCGCCTAACATGAAGCCACTCGCTGATAAACCGGGCCACTGGATCCCTGATCATCGTCACGAAGAAGTAACTGCAGAAATACGGATTTAATCACAGAACATATTAGTAATTCATCATCATTATCATCATTGGGGAGTCTCCATTATAAAGTGGTCAAGTCGCTTGGCTTCCGTTCTGAAGGTCGTGGATGTTTCAAAATGCATAATTCAGCTCACGATGGCTGTTTTTATAGGATCGTCGAGGGCAATTCAGAACTGGTGCTTGAGTAAACTGGTGTAAAACTGTCATGTTGAAGTTGGCATTGGTAGCTTTTCATTTGACTTACGTTTATAACGGGCCTAAACCTTGTTTTGGCGCTTAATGATGATGATGAGGATGATGATAGTAATAATAATATATATGTAATGGAAAATAAGAATAACAATATATTTTAAATACTTTGGGTAAATTTTTCCCGGGCCACGCCGTTAGGCTACTCTTTTCGCGGGGGTACAGGACAATGAATGTATGAAGTTCGAACCCACCGGGACCGCACAATGAGCGATAAACACCAGGTGACACAAAGTGCCACCCTTCGGATGAGAATCACCGGGGCGCAAGTCCTAGAAAGGCTTTTCAGCCGTTAGATTAAATTAGGGACCGCGACAACAGCCAGAGTGAAGCTTTAAAATAACGAAAAACTGCGTCCCATATTGGGACAGCGGGTCAAGAACAGGACATTGAAGATGCATTGGGCATAAGAGCACAGAGGCCTGTAGAGTTCGCTAGAGAAGGAGAGACCTTCAAGTGTGGCATGACGAGGATCAGGGTCATGTTCTGTAAAGCCAGCTTATTAACTGATTCATCGGAGGACGTTTAATGAGAATGTTACTGGCACAATTGATATCGGAACTCTTCATTGGCTGCTGAAGATGTGGACGGAGCGCTTATAGGAATGCTCCGAGGGCTGTGATGTCGGTCCTTGAATCAACTCAACTCGGGGGGGGGGGGGGGGGGGGGAAGGGGGAAGGCCTCACCTAGAAAGTAAACTTCTATACTTGGGGGAGGGGGTGGGGGGTTTGGCTTTCTTAAAAATTGAAGGCCTTCAGTGTTCCAATAAGAATAGGGGGCCGTAAGTGCTAGCCCCTAGGTGACCCGCATTTAGTGCTTGGGCTAGGTAAGAGGACAGGTTTGTTTATAAACTATAACCGTCTAACTGCACATTGTTTGAATTCTTTATGATTTAACTATTTCCGAGACAACCAAACCTACTTTCGGGTTCTGTTTTCGTTGACTTGGCTGGAGAACCATAGATCCACACACGATCTCAGCTCCATGAATCCTGGATGCAATCCACATATCCAACCATTGCAGTGTCTGTTGACCATCCAGTCTTGGCCGTGCTTGTTTAAACATTCGCACATTTTTCTGTTTTTAAACACCAAGAAACACAAATACGTAAATTTATACTACAGCCCAGTCCACTCAAGTCGAACTCGGATAAGGCGAATTTCTGTTAATTAAGTCGACATGACCAGCTTAGTCCCGACAATTTGCTCTATTGTGTGTGCTGTCTGGATAAGTAGAAATCCTGATAAGTGGAAGCATTTGCTTAGGTTCCTGCGACTTCTACTTACCCAAACTTGACTGTAATTGTCACAGGTAACAGCAGCATTTAAGAACCTGATTAAATACCACCATTATCATTTTCCTAGTGTACTGTTAAATGCCACATAGGGTTTGCAGTCTGTTCGCCCATTCCATTCCGGGCGGTTCCCGGGGTTCATCTAGCTTCTAGGAACTGGCTACTCGAGTTGATACTCTGGGGTGAATGGAGGAACGTCGCTGTAGCTACGCAGTTGCTTGCGGACGGCGACACAGGCGGACAGTTTCTTATCAGCTGGTGGCGAGCACTTATGGTTTTTAACCGTGTGCAATGACACTAGTTCACATCTCCCGACTTTACCTTTTTTTTTTTGTGTGTGCAATTCCTTCCATATCAATAATGGAATCCCGTTAAGCTCTTTTGCCTCTCTTACCATCGTCCGTATTATTTCCCCTTTGGATATATTCGCTGTCTTCATCACTTTAATTCCCTACTGCAATTGTTGTACAACATCTAGCATGAGAATGGAGGTGGAGGCGGTAATTGCAGCTCTCCGATGACTAGAGAACAAGATGCATACACATGTAGTAGTTGTAACAGACTCTATAGGCATGTTGATAAAGGTGAAGACAGGAATGCTTTGAGCAGAGCTGCAAGCTTCACTGGGAAGGTCACTTGTAGTGAGCATATTTTGGATCTTTTCTCCAGGCTATGCCGGCGTAGTGGATAATGAACAGACAGACAGATTCTCTGGATCTGCACCACTAGGTGGTGAATTAATATATAACAAGGCAGATGTGGTCAAGGCCTTTTGGGAACAAGCAACAGAATTAGTGAAGAAACACGATTATTATAGTATAAATGTACGTGTTTGGCCTGGAGAGAATGAGGCACCTGGGTGTCACCAGAGGGTCTGACCGTCTCACTACACTCAGAGGAAACGCAAGACAGACTAAAAACCAGATTCTGATCGGTAACATCAGTATTGGAACTCTGCGCTGGCTGATGAATATAGGGACAAAACATGCATGGGAATGCTCCGAATGCTGTGATGTCATTTCTTGACTCAACTCAACTGAACTCGTTGGCGATTGTCTGCTCGTTTCTTTTTTACAAATAATAATAAACACATGCAGTGGGCAAGGTACCTGATGATGATATAGAAACAGTTGATGATACTGAGCCACGTTAGGTGCTGCTGGCAAAGAATAGGATTTGTTTATACATATAGTATCTGTCTAGCTCGAATAGGTGATAAAAAGAAGAGAAAGAAAACAAATCCTCTATTCATCATGAAGAGGAATGTTGAATTAAAAATCGACATCCGAGCACTCGGGACACTCCCATCAGCACACACCATACCCATCCTCAGCATAAAGCGTAGAGTTCCAGTTCCAGTGGTTACCACAGAGAAGAAGAGAAGAGGAGTAGGATAAGCCAGTGGATAAACAGAAAGCAGAAAAAACACAAAGCCGAAGTTAATGGACAAATATGGACGAAACATAATGAGAGGAGTGATAAGAAACAAAATGATAGAGAAGAAGAAGACGAAGAAGAAGGACAGAAGCAAAGAAACAAAGAGAGAAAGCAAGAAAGAGAAAAGGAAGAAAAAGAAAAGGAAGAAGAAGATAAAGAAAAAGAAGATGAAAAAAAAACAAGTTGAAGGAACAAGAGATAAAGAAAAAGAAGATGCAGAAAATGAATATGAAGAAAAAGAAGATGAAGAAGAAAGAAAGTGGAAATAAAAGAAGGTGAAGAGAAATAATGGAGAGAAGGATAAGGATGAGGACGAAAAAGAGTATGAGCAGGGGAAGAAGAAGGAAGAAGAAAGGGAGAAAAATAAACAGAGGAATGTTGATTACCTAACGGTTTACCTCACCCTATATTTACGGCTCATGTTGTGCACTGATAACTGATCATTTCTTACAACCTTTGTATCGACATTTAAGCTCATAAAACTTACTTTAAAACCCCCTGTATTGATTCATCCGCTTTCAGCATACAACATTCTAACTCAGATGTGTTCGGACTATCGTTATTAGGAGTTCGATAATTTAGGTTTTGCATAGACCACCACATAGTAGTACTTATATATTTTAGCAGTTGACTTATGCGGAGAGGAGTGGCTGGTTAAAGGGTCAAAGACTCGGTAAAGTTATTGATTTTTATTTCCTTCCAGGAAAAAATATCCTGACCTGCACACCCACGCGACAACACTAGCCATGAGGGCCTAAATCCTTTCACTCAAGAGACCCTTCCCCCGTTTTTTCCCCTTTTTGGTCTCCTTTTCCCTCGTCTGTCATCGCCCTAAAATGTGACGCACAAAAACGAAAAGATAAAAGAATGAGGAGCAGAAAAAAAAAAAGTAGTAGTAGCAGCAACTGTCACAGTATTAGCACTAGAAGAAAAGGAAGACTCGACGGAGGAACGAGCTATTATGTAAATCAACGGCATAATGGGTGTATCCAACAGTAACTCTATGCTGGTTTATTAGTTTCCCCAAATCTGACACCCACCTGTTTTCAACTTTCGGCATAGTCCTACAGCGAACACGAGGTAGAATGGTTGTGTGCTCTACCAGATGGTCTTCCAGGTAGGTTCCTCCAGTTTTCTGTATGTGCATCACAACCAGTATGTCCGACGTATTGATGCTCAGATTCACCGCCTGTGTCTAAAGTGTTTAGAAGACATAACATTAAAAGTAAAGAAATGAGAAGACTAGTACTGCAAGTAGTTAGACAATGCATCAGAGAGCAACATTTGAGATGTCTGAGCATCCGACGAGAATGTTCTGGTAGTTACTGCAACTAACTGCCACGTTGCAGAAATGTAATGAACACAGAGCAAATGAAGTTGAGGTGTTAATTTAAGAACCGACAATCTGGCAGCAAAAAATCCCAAAAGCGAATCCTCGTCTTCAGCAACTAGCTGTGAGCTCAAATTTCGATGCTACCCGTAGCAACTTCAGTCTTGAATTTTTTTTCTCTCTGAATCTAGAGTGTTAGCCAGATGATCTCTCCACGATGCACCGATTTCTCTACATAGAAATGATCAATTCGCGTTTTGCTCCTATAAGGCCTTGACCTCGATCTAGCTTTTCATTGATCAGTTTCTTGACCTCGATCTAGCTTTTCATTGATCAGTTTCTTGACCTCGATCTAGCTTTTCATTGATAAGTTTCTTGACCTCGTTCTAGCTTTTCATTGATCAGTTTCTTGACCTCGAGCTAGCTTTTCATTGATCAGTTTCTTGACCTCCATCTAGCTTTTCATTGATCAGTTTCTTGACCTCAATCTAGCTTTTCATTGATCAGTTTCTTGACCTCAATCTAGCTTTTCATTGATCAGTTTAACACCCAGTGGTGCAGCACCAGTCAGTCTGTCTGCTGGTTAATTGTCGAGCATACTAGTATATGGAGGAGAACAGATTTAAAGAATATGTAGTACCCGGAACATCTGAAGCGATATCTGCCCTTCTGCACGGAGCACATGGATAGGTCGACCATCTTGTCTTTTGTCTCTTTACTTTCCCCTCTGAACATTTAAGTCATGTTTTGTTGTGTGTTTGTGTGTGTTTGTTTTTACATTTAAAGAATATATGCTTGTCCCGTGTCATCATTATCATTTTCGGTTGCATTTGTTCGTGTTGTTAGCATCTATACTTTCCCCTATGAGCTTTTTAGTCATGTTCTCTTGTGTGTCTGTGTGTGTGTGTGTCTGTGTTTTAATTCCAAGAATAAATTTATTTCTTCTTTTTTTCTTCTTCTTCTTCTCCATCTTCCTTTTCTTCTTTTTCCTTTTCTTCTCCTTCTTTTTCTTTTCTTCTTCTTTTTCTTCTTCTTCTTCTCCTTCTTCCTTTTCTTCTTTTTTCTTTTCTTCTTCAACTTTTTCTTTTCTTCTTCTTCTTCTTCTTTTTCTTCTTCTTCTTCTTCTTCTTCTTCTTCTTTTCTTTTCTTCTTCTTCTTCTTCTTTTCTTCTTCTTCTTCTTCTTCTTCTTCTTCTAGTTCTTCTTCTTCTTTTTCTTCTTCTTCTTCTTCTTCTTCTTCTTCTTCTTCTTCTTTTCTTCTGTCTTCTTCTCTTCTTCTACTTCTTCTTCTTCTTCTTCTTTCTTTTTCTTCTTCTTCTTCTTCTTCTTCTTCTTCTTCTTCTTCTTCTTCTTCTTCTTCTTCTTCTTCTTCTTCTTCTTCTTCTTCTTCTTCTTCTTCTTCTTCGTCCTCTTCTTCTTCTTCTTCTTCTTCTTCTTCTTCTTCTTCTTCTTCTTCTTCTTCTTCTTTCTTTCTTCTTCTTCTTCTTCTTCTTCTTTTCTTTTCCTCTTCTTCTTCTTCTTCTTCTTCTTCTTCTTCTTCTTCTTCTTCTTCTTCTTCTTCTTCTTCTTCTTCTTCTTCTTCTTCTTCTTCTTCTTCTTCTTCTTCTTCTTCTTCTTCTTCTTCTTCTTCTTCTTTTAATATTATTTTTTTTATTATCTTTCTTCTTGTTTTTCTTCTTCTTGTTTTTCTTCTTCTTCTTCTTTTTTCTTCTTCTTCTTCTTTCTTCTTCTTCTTCTTCTTCTTCTTCTTCTTCTTCTTCTTCTTCTTCTTCTTCTTCTTCTTCTTCTTATTCTTCTTCTTCTTCTTCTTCTTCTTTCTTCTTCTTCTTCTCTTCTTCTTCTTCTTCTTCTTCTTCTTCTTCTTCTTCTCTTCTTCTTCTTCTTCTTCTTCTTCTTCTTCTTCTTCTTCTTCTTCTTCTTCTTCTTCTTCTTCTTTCTTCCTTTTTTCTTCTTCTTCTTCTTCTTCGTCTTCTTCTTCATTTCTTCTTCTTCTTCTTCTTCTTCTTCTTCTTCTTCT